TCGAGTGCGAAGAACAGAAACGAATGGCGAAAGAGGACACTCGAGCTCGTCATGTGGAAGTCCTTAATTAGAAATTAGGTGCGGATGCAGCAAGCACAACTCCGCCCTGGCTGCAAAAAGACCGCTCCACGGCCTTAAGCGAAGGTCTACTTGGAAGGGCAGGGGACTTAGTAAGTAGGTTATAAAGTAGAGTTACAAGTACCCTAAAATGGAGTTACCCTAATTATACTTATAAACGACTTACTAAGTCCCCTGTCCTTCCAAGTAGACCTTCAAGCAAGTTTGGGAGACTTCTCGAAGCAGAAGCGAAGCCTAAGTGCCGTCGACCCTATCCCTTAAAGCTAAAGCTCCAAACCCTGCAGTCTTGAGCTATGTACTGTCCTTGAACCCAACGATATCCCAGCCTCAAGCGAATCTGAAACTTTGAAACTCTCATCCGAACGACCTCAAACGACCCGCTGCAGCCCTAAATCCTGGACCCTCAACCCCGAGATAACACTCGAACAAAACAGCTGTGACCCTAAATCCGAAACCTCTGGCCAGGACCCAAACATCTCACCCGAACGACCCGCAGTAACCCTAAATCCTAGACTCCGACTACTCGAACACAACCGCTCTTACCCTAAATCCTAAACCCCAACCCCAAGACCCAAACAGGTTTTTGACGACCCTCGACCCTAAACCTTAATTGGGCTCAAACCCTAAACTCTAATTGGGCTCAAATCGGTTATGATCAATCCGATAAGGCTCAAACTCGCTTCGATATTCCCCATTCGGGGTACTGTAAGGGCTTACAAGAATCATGATTTTGATGTCCTGCAACATCTGCAAATCCATATTATTGTATGTCTCTGAGTCTGGCGACGCAGGCTCATATTTAATATATGCTGTCCTTTTCTGTAAACTTACCGGAATGTCTTCTCGCTGGGGCGACGTTGGAGTGGCAGGGCTACTTCAAGGACTCAGTAAGTCGGTTGGAAGTGTTGTTGTAGGTTATCAAACTCCCTACTAGAACCGACTTACTTCTGCATCGCCTGATCCCGCATGGGTCATATAAGTAGCGTATAAACGAAGGTTACCAAAACGCCGACTGGAACCTACCTATCAAGTTATGTGCCTCAGAATGATCCCTTCAGGAGCCAGGTACCTTGGTCCTGAACTGGCTGTTTCTTTGGGGGCACGTTGCAGCTTCGGGTACCTATCCTTGTGATGTTCCATGTAACGCTAAACGGTAAACCGCGTTAAGGTTCTAGGTTTTAGGGAGCAGCTTTATCGGTGCTCTTCTTCAAAGCTCCGCACCCTTCGTCCACGACAGCCATCTACAGGGTCCACAGCATTTGGAGGTCGGAGTGTCATGGGATCCCCAATCAGTTGCCTCCGTGGATTTCACGGGGTCGCCTTCCTTCTAACCCGACCCCGGCCCCCTTGACCCTGACCCAAAGCCTTATCTTACCTTTGGTTAGCAGGGAAAGGAAGAATGGTAGTAATAGTAGTTATAATTGTACCCCATTCCTCCATTCCCTACTAACCACCTAAACCCTAAACCCTAAGTATGCATGGCCCGTAAAATCTCCCACAACAAAGCAGGCCGGCCTTCGGAGGGGGACGGGAAACAAGCCTCAAAATCGTCACACCGTATGACCGCTGGGCCCTACTTTAGACTGAATGCCTAAACCCTAAACATGAAGTAAGAGCCATTCAATCTAGTAATTCAGCAAGTTGCATGCGTGCCGTGCCAAGGGTCTGGGTTTCGGCTGAGACCGTTTCCTGAAGAACTTCTTTCAGGGTATAAGGTTCGGTTTGGGATCCAGATCTAGAGTTCGGGGCTTGGCCAGGCGTTCGGCGTTCAGGGGAGGCCACGGGTCAGGTGGCTCCTTCCTTTCGGCGAAATAAAGAGCCAGACGGAAAGCCACACGTCGTCTGTTTGCCACAATCGGGGATGATGCTGGTCACCAATCTTCCCAAAGGCCCCTTTCCATAAAATTGACATGCACCTAGCTGATGCGTGGAATCGGTCATACGCAGGCGGGGAACGGGCAGACACATCCAGACCCCTCCTATAGACCAATTTTCATATTTTCGCATCCTATGCTAATCGAGCCCAAACAAGGAACGACGATTGAGACCTAAGCCCTACACTTGCAACCTCTAAATCCCTGAACCTCTAATCCCCAAGGCCCGAAACATTCAACCGGCTAAGGACAAGTCTTCCGATGTTTCGGACTCACCTCGCGCTGTCCAGGCCGCGGAACTTCGAAGCATGCACCCTAACATTTGGGCCTTAAGAACTCGAATAGGGTTCCTTAGAAGGGCCTGAACAGTCAGAATAAGGCTTGGGTTATTGAATACTGTTGTGATAGTCAGGAACTCCAAGGCAATTATTCAGGCCCTTAACTTTAAGTTGTCTCCCAACAGTTGTCATGATGGGGCTTAGGGTGTAGCCCTTGGAGGCTTAGGGACCTAGTCCTACAGGGGGCTTCAGGGTCTAAAGGACCCAGTAATTAGGTTCTAGGTTAGTGTCTTGGCAGGTGTGAGGTTACGAGTTACTGGGACCTCCAGGGATTTCGACGAGTTTTTTACGTGGAACACCATTGGCTGTAGATAGGGTCTGGTTCCTGGTTTAAGGTCGGGTTCCGCAGCCTAAAGGATTCTTGGTTGATGGTTTAGTATGTAAGTAGGTTAGGGGGTTAGGGGTTCAGAGCAGGGGCTATAGGGGTTAAGTGTAAATTTCAATTTTAGTTTCTGCTGCGCTCACGTCATCGGCATTCGGTTACATGCGGTGTTGTCTTGTTGACATGCAAGTTTTCAATGTGACTCAGTACATCGTGCTTCTGGCAGTTGTCCGACTAGGACTTCATCACATTTGATGCTCTCTAGCAGTCCATCGGCTTCCCCCCTCTCCCAATTTTAAACTGATGCTGAGAAGCTGGCCTAACGTCGTTGCTCTACCCCAACACCCCTTTTGCAGCGACCAAGGCACCTAAAACCTTAAACCCCATGAAACCTTGACAGAGCAAATATGCGGCTCATACGACCTCATTCTACTGAGCCCTAAGCCCTATAAACCCTAAGCCCCAAACCCTAAGCCCCTAACCCTAAGCTCCAAACCCTAAGCCCTAAACCCTAAGCCCTAAACCCTAAGCCCCTAACCCTAGACCCTAAACCCTAAGCCCCTAGCTGCAAGCCCCAAACCCTAAACCCTAAGCCCTAAACCCTAAGCCCCAAACCCTAAGCCCTAAACCATCCTAAACCCATAGCTACTCAGTATTACTAAGGCTTGCAATATGTCTCAGCCTTAGAAGGGGCCGCCACCCTGCAATAGTGACGATAAGGATTATATTAGGGCCCTATTATATTCCTGCTATACCGCTATTACAGGGTGGGGACCCCTTCTAGCCTCAGCCGCACAGGCGGCCCTCCGGGATCCTGCAACACCGGGCGAGATCCCAATACGGTCACCTGCGCCGCCTGCCGCCTCCTTGCATTTTTGAGTTCAGGGTTTAGGAGTTGAGGGTTGGGTTTATAGTAGTTTAGAGTTCGTTAAGGGCCTTATAAGTTATAAGTTATAAGGGTTCTGGAAAAGTTTGGTTTAGGAGTTGAAGGTTTAGGGGTTAGGGTTCAGAGTTCGTTGGGGGCTTTATACGGTATAGAGTTGAGGCTTGGGTTTAGTAGTTTAGAGTTCGGTAAGGGTATTGTAAGGGTTCTGGAAAAGTTTGATCTAGGAGTTGAGGGTTTGGGGTTCAGAGTTCGTTGAGGGTTTTGTACGGTTTAGAAGTTGAGGCTTGGGTTTAGTAGTTTAGAGTTCGTTAAGGGCTTTATAAGAGTTCTGGAAAATTTGATCTAGGAGTTGAGGGTGTAGGGTTCAGAGTTCGTTGAGGGTTTTGTACGGTTTAGAGTTGAGGGTTGGGTTTAGTAGTTTAGAGTCCGTTAAGGGTATTGTAAGGGTTCTGGAAAAGTTTGATGAGGGTTTTCATGGGTTTAGGTGCCGAGGGTTGGGGGATTGGGGCCAGCCAAGGACCCCAGTTGCCAAGATCTTTTCAGACTGCGCCCGAGAAGCCTCATGTACACGTCTGTCACTATGCACATGCGCGCAATTATGTATCTATAAAAAAATATGTGTACTAAATATACACATTGCACATATATGCATATATAGACATGCATAACCCTAGCCCGAGCATCCTCCCTTCTGGTTTAGGTAGGTGAGCGGATTCAGTTGGGACTTTGGGCTCAGGTATTCAGGAGAAAGGAAAGTTCAGTTCCAGATTTCCCATTTAGGGTTTGGGTTTGAGGCTCTGTGTAATTGCAGCATGTTTCACATGCTGTCGGGGCTCTTGATGCAGGGTGTACCCAACATCCCCAAGCTGTCAACCGCTCAAACCGTAATCCATAAACCTTACACCGACCCCAAATTCTAGACTCCCAGCCTTGTCCTTTTTCATGGTTCCCCCAAAAGAACAAACAGACCGGCTAGTAGACCTTCTTAAACAATTCCTATTAAGGGATATATGTATAGGGCTCTGTCTATTATTTTTAAAAGGACAAGGGTGATCTAGACCCTAAACCCGCTGAGGATTTGGGATTGGTGTTTCGGATGTCGCCTTGGGGGCTCCTTATGTTGGTGTTACTGAGATTTCGAGTTTGGGTCTCCTTTTAGGGTTGAGGGTTTAGGGTTCAGGGTTCAGGGTTTAGGGTTTGGGGTTCAGGGTGAGGTTTAGAAGACAATTCGGGGCACGTTTTCCGGGCGATCAATCTGTGGCTTTTGACAGCATGAGCCCCAACCCTAAATCCCTATCGCCCCAACCCTAAATGCCAGGCGGAAGAAGCAGCAAGCACCAGAAACAGCTTCAACAGCCCTTGACCTTAACCCCTAAATCCGAATTCCCTAAAGCTTCACCCGTGCAGCCTCATCCCCTGATGCCTACCCAATCCCCAGACCTACCACCCCAAGCTTCCCTAAACAGAAATCTCGCAGTCGAGGTCTTGTCGGGCTTCAGCCTATGAGTTCTGGAGAGTGCGGTCCATGCACAGGCTTCCTCGTTAAAAGATTAGGGTTTAGGGTTTAGGGTTTTGGGTTTAGGGTTTAGGGTTTAGGGGGCTTCCTCGTTAAAAGATTCCATTAAGACTTCAAGTATGCAAGCAAATTACCTGCGGTCTCCATTGTAATTCCTTTTCTTGGTTTAACCAATTCATAAGCAGGACTCTATAAGGTAACCCCAAAACGGAACTACAATGAAGACTATAGGTACACTCCTTCAGGGCCCAAAGGACACAACATGTGGGTACTTGGGTAAGGGGTAGTAGTGATGCAGGTTTGCACTTAAGGTGCTACATGGTTATTAGGCACCTTCCTTTGTGTCTAAAATCCTCTCAGCTTCAGTGAGATGGACGTGTTAGCATAGGGCCTTAATAATTACCTACACTATTTTGGGGGTGGGTTCCTTATTGTAAGCCAGCCCATCCGGAACAGGCTTGTGCAGACTCCCAAACCGCTCAACCATGGAATGCACCGTAAACCACATCAAGTTAACATTAAGGTCTCTTCTATAGTTATGAGGCGTAATGCCTAATTCCGGGGTGTTGGAGTTCCTGGGAGAAGTATATGCAATCCCACACCCTAAACCCAAAACCCTAAACCCTAAAACCCTAAAGCGCAAAGCCGGGTGACTCTGATCTGGCCTCAGGCCAATTGCCTCTGTTGGCCTCCTGAGGAAGATTAAAAAAAGACTTATGAAGGCTTTGCTACACTCATCCTTGGGGATTCAGAGCTAAGTGGCGTTGTGAGGGTGTTGAACCTGAGATGATGAGCTTGGCACTCGACTTCACTCGCTGTCAATGCTGGAAGGCGCATCCTATCTGCTTCTCGCCGGCACGGCAGTGGCTCACCTGCAACCGGCCGCAATCCCAACTTCCAGAACCAAGCAGCCGAACCGCAAGTGTGTAGTTCTCCACGTCATAGTCCCATCGTGGCTCCCCAACGCCGCTGCATGACGCTCACTCTAAGAACTATTCTAGGACGTACCCTAAAATAGAGAGCATGGTGCAAAGGTGCTCGGCATTTGCGGTGTCGTCGTCATCTACGTCGTCTTAGCGATGGATGCACAGCGGGTCAAGCAGCCAGGCCCGGAAGGGAACCACAATGCTGAACCTATACCCAGCGGGATAGAAGGCCATCGCAACAAACACTGTATTATACACCCTATGTGTAACTGCATGAACTTTACTCAAACTCCGTAACGACACACTGCGAATCCTAATCCGAAAGCAATAGACACCAAACCCCGTGCGCCGAACTCCCAGGTCCGGGGTGCGACACCCTAAACCCACAACCCGTAAAGCTTGAAATCATGAAGAAAGCCTTCACAAAGCGACCTCAACCATATTGAACTTGACCATCAGGACCCTGGACCCCGAAACCCTCAACCTTAGACAAATTGGCCAATCCTGAAGCCTTAAACCCTAAAATCTTTATATCCCCGAAATCCGGAACCCTAAACCCCTAAACCCTAAACCCCTCAGATCCGAAACCCAAAGCCCCAAGTCATGAAGCCCCGGAGCCAGGCCATCTCTTCGTGATCTTCGTGGCACTAAGCCAGCTCGTGACAGTGCTCCAGCAGTCGCTGAGCTCATGAAACTGTTTAGGGTTTAAGGGTTTAAGTTCCGGGTTTAGGGGTTAGTGTTTAGGGTTTACTGTTTAGGTTTAGTAGTTAGGGCTCAGGGTTTTATATAGGGGCCTTAATAATTAGAACAGGGCCCCAGCTATACTATAGTTATACTCAGGAACCCCCCAAAATAGTAGAGGTACTTCTTTAGGCGCCTATAGTAGGGGCATTTCGGGTGACATATGGTGCTGCGCAGCCGTCCTGCCTCGTTTCTCGCAGGCTGGCAGTCATCACCAAGTTTGACATTCAGTGGGAGCAGCCCATGGCTGGTGTCATGAGCCTGCTTCTCGTATGTATATTTCAAGTATTATTTCTAGATTCTGGAGCCGGCTTGTCCTTTAGGATGTACAAAGGAGTATACACTTGAAGCCTGTGGAATGTGGGTTCCCAGAGCTGCAGGCGACTATATCATTATTTACGCTCCAAAGGTTTACAGTCTGCTGATTCTGACAATTGATTGAACTCGGATCATATTCGGAAACAGGCTAGAACAACCACCCATACGCCCTTGGCAATCCCGCACTGCTTGGCTTCGCGTAATTTGGGGATATTGTGCAATATCACCTTTATCCCCTTTCAGGTAATACCCTAAACCCTAAACCACTAATCAAACCATCAACCCCCAAACCCAACCACCCTAAACCCTAAACTCTGGTAGGTTTTCATTCATGACTCTGGACTTGGACGCACTGTCCTTCTCATGCGTGGCTCCTGCATCGCCGGTCGGGAAGTATACTCTGACGCCAGGCCGTTCAGTGGTACACTTTTTTACTTTCAGGTTTCTGGGTTCCTATTATAAAATAAGAACCCTAAAAAGTATAAGCTTCTTCCCAGTGGGTTACTGAACAGCCTAGGACCACACTGGCAACGCCGCTGCTTGCTGTGGTGGCCGGTTTCATTCATCTGAGCCTCGGCTGCTATTTCCTGCGGCGATATGAGGGTCGGAATAGTTGGCAACAGTCTTCCGTAGGGCTCCTTAATATGAGTATGTCAAACATTCCCAAGCTCTACATTAACCATTTAGGCGCCTACATAGCACCCCAGGTCCCCCAAGCCCTAAACCCTTAACCTTAAGCCTTGTATGTAATCACACTTCACAACCAAAGCTTTCCCCAAAGCCGAGACCCTATAAGGCGGGACTTACCCTCAACAGGTCTTCCGAATCACTAGACCCGACAAGATTAGTGAACCTGTCACGCTTTTGTTAGCGAAGCTTTAATCCCCCTGAGCCATCCGTACAATCCGTAGATATCCAAATGCACCCCCTCGAAACTTGAAACTTTAAGCCCTAACCACCGAGCAACTCAGATCGGCCATTGCTGCGAAAAGGCATCTGCCGCAGCCTGGGTGTATCAGAAACTTTTGCAGTTCTCTTTGTCCGGTTCACTTACGGGGTTTGGGATATGGAAGCTGAAGGACGGATTTATACACAAGGCTTGGGACTAACGGTTTATGCTTTTAGAGATGCTTCTGTGGCTTAGGGCTGTGGCTTTCTTAGGAGTTGTGGGTTTAGTAGGGGTTGAGCTGTTTAGGGTTTCTGGGGTTTAGGCGTGTAGGGGTTAGGGTTTCAAGGAGTCTGCATGTGCAGCACGAGGTTGAGTTTTCCCTTGTAGAGCTTTCGAATGTACTTGAAAAAGTTCCCAGAGAGCCCCATACCCCTTAGCTAAGGAATATGGCCCAAATTATATAGGGCTTCATATTATGATTTAAGCTACATTCCTTAATTGAAGGGTATTGGGCTCTCTGGGTTCATACTTGAGGATGAAGCGTCTCAAATCTCATATATGATCCCGGTTCGACCGGCCCCCCCCCCTCCCCCCACCCAAGGGTATCCCCCCCCCCCCCCGCTCCCCAAGCCGAATCTGTGTGTGACTACCGGGATCATATATGTGGAGGGCTGCTCGTGAGCGGAGGCTTCTCTTCAGTTTTAGCACCTAAAGTTGCGGGGTAGATTGAATGAGCACGTAAGGTATATGGTATACATATATCAGGGCCAGAAGACCAGATAAATGCCCTAAACCCTAAACTCCTAAACCATCTGTGGCACCATCCCAAGGCAAGATTTTGCCGCTAGTCTCGATGGGAGCCAACTGCTTCGCACCATTGGCTCGCTGTTGCTTTGCTGCTTCAGGTGTAGGGTTTAGGGATTCAGGATTCAGGGTTTAGGGTTTGGGGATTCAGGGTTTAGGTTCAGGACGGTGTCTTTGTTGAGCTTCATTTTAGCCTTGGATACATCAGAGATATGCTGGGCACATTCACAAGACATCGGGTTTTATCGTTTTCACTCGGCAATGCAAGTGCATAACAGCTCTTCCTTTCAAGATCTTTACCTTTGATTCCATAGTGAGAGTATGAGAAAATGTTTTGCTATATCCTGAGATCCGAATTCAACCATACGTGGTGGCCGTTCGATGTCCTGCTGTACCGTTTGTTGTGTGATGACGCTGCAGAACCCCCTAAACCCTAGAGCCTGAAGACAAACCAGCTTAAACCCTAAACTCTAAACTCTAAACCCTAAATCCTAAACTCTATACCCTAAACCCTAAACCCTAGCACAAACAGCCAAAGCCAAACCACACCGGGCCACATCCCGAGACCGCGTCAACAACATCCCATGACCTAATTACAAGACCCTATCTGGATAGTTGTCAAAATTAGGGTCGCTTTTCGGGTACCCTAAATATTAGGTGCCGTATTGTTTTAAGGACCCACAAAAGTCACCACAATTTTGACAACCACCTGTGTGACAGCAGGTGCACGGGTTTCGGGTTTAGCCGAACAGCTGCAGGATTTCACGTCGAGCCTCGAGATTTTTTGAACTCAGAGGAAGCAAAGTCGCAAGCCCCTGGCCCTGCCCTCGGTAACTACTATAGGGGCCTAAATCATTGCCGATACTATTTGTTGGTTCCTTAGTATAATTATAGTATAGTGGGTCCCAAAGCCATATTGTAGTTGTTAAGGCGCCTATATAACGGGAGGCCCATGCGATGATCTCGTCCCTTGATGAGTTGGACCCCCACCGAGGAAGAATCCGTGATCGAAAGCAGTTGCTTGATGACTCTCTCGAGTCTGTTTGGAGCAATCGCAAGAGGCCAACGCCCAAGAAACAAAAGCCCAGTCCTGCACTGACATAGTAATAAACAGTAGGTAGATGTATTATAGTTACAGTTGATTGGGTCCTGGCCCCAAACCCTCACCAGAAGTCTTCGACCTCAAGTATCTGGTTCGGGGCTGGAGCTCTGTAAATTCGGATATGTGGCGCAGCTGAAGTGTATCGCATTTCTTAGTAGTGGAGTGAAGGGTCGAGCCTCGAGGGCCTGGTTGGGAGGGTTACACTATCCGATCCTGTCTTGGGCTGATGATGCATACCCTAAGCCCTGATTGGTAATTTCTTAAGCCCCTGTATTACGGGCCTTGGAACCTGGCAGCCTAGACCGATTTCGGGGATCAGAATGTCTCGTAAGCGCCGATCGCCAAGAAATGGTACGTACAAGATCTTAAATTACAAGTCTAGGCAAAGCTTACTGCTCCATGATCTCTGAAAGCCGGTTGTCACCAACCTCCGATGCTCTCAACCCAGGTTCCTGCTGTTGTTTATCAGCGTTTTTGCGTCCATACTGGCTCCTTTTCAATGCAACCTTCATCCCAACGGACGCCACCTGGCCTGCAGAGCATACATCGTCGTCGCAGTGGCGAGTTTGTAGTCGAAGGTGCTGGTGTTGCCACGAGAAGATATATAGTCTGAGTGCGTGTAATGTTTGGCGAAGGGCTTTGCAAGAAAGCGCTCAGGGTGCCGGTTCATGCCGTAGTGATTTTTTGTCATGCGAAGGGCTTCTCCAGGCCGAAGCATGTTCACTTCCGCCACGAAGGTCGGACCTTGCAAGAGTATGACTCCGTTTTCTGCAGTGGCAAGGACCGCTGAGGGGTTGGGGAGTTGATGGCTTTGTTGGCGTAAGGCTTAGGGCTTGCAGCATCTCCCCCGCTGGAATCAGGGTTTGGGTTCCACTGCATGCTGCTTTTTCGGCTTACGGTTTGGTGCATTGCTCCTGAAACAGAAGTGTGTTCTAATTAGGTCCAGTGAAGTGTTGTACCTGTGAGTTCGTTTATGGCTTTTGGATTGCGGCCTTGCAAGGAAGCGAGAGAAGCCACCATTGTAAACCCACATGGTACATGTTCCCAACAGAAATTGGCGCAATTGTTCGGTACTATACGCACCAGGGCATTAATAATATCCGATATGGTATAGAACCCTAGTTACTAAGTCCCATGACCCTTTAAGTAGCCCGAACACCCCCCTTACAGAACCCTTATAGATCCCTTTAAAGGAACCCTTATCGAACCCTAGTTACTAAGCCCCATGACCCTTTAAGTAGCCCTAACACCCCCCCTTATAGAACCCTTATGGATCCTTTTAAAGGAACCCTTATAGAACCCTACTTACTAAGCCCCATGACCCTTTAGGGTGCGACCCTTTAGGGTGCAGCAGGAAGAACATCTGCAGATGAGCATCATTGGGGGCCTGGCAGCCTTGATGCCGCTGTTCTTCGTCGCCCTTTGCATCCGGGTGCCTCGGAATCCGTCTACGATTATTGCTTTTCCTACTACTATTTATTAAATATGATTATTAATATTATTGGTATGATTACTAGCTTTACACCTTCATACCTGAGCCGACGATGTAGTGTACATGGGTGGTCGACAGTTCCTCATATTCGTGTAAAGTTCGTTTACCCGGATCTCACTGCCAGCACCCAGTTAATTCCCTCACAGTATAGCATTTCGCTCTGTCCGGCTGGCTGCCTGCGGGCTTGTGAGGGAAGGCTGCAAAGGTGTGCTGTCTTGTTGCGGTTTTTACCCTCTGTTGGCTTCCAGTTGCTTCCTGCAGTGGTTACCCTGTGTTTTCCTGGCAGTTTGTTGGCATACTTGGGAGACTGTTGGTAGGCACATAAATGACCAATGAGAGAGGGCTGTTTGGGTTTAGTTGAAGATCCGACGTGAAGCCCCGAATGCCTCCGTCGCCCGAACTGTTCGAAGCAGCAGGTCTGATTGCACATGACAGGTCAGCGCGTGCCGGTTCACTTCAGAAACACTTAAGCGCAACAGCCTCATGGTAATGTCCTCCTGCTTGCTACGATAATCCTACTTATGCCACTCTGCATCCGCACCCTGCGAATGAAGGCTACGTGGGTCGAGCTCCCAAAGCGCTTGTTGCGCGCTGATGCCAAATTCGTTCGGTCCTGCCACTTGGTGATCCTGAACAGAGATCAACATCCTCGGCATTGCTGAAGATGAGTTTTTGTCCCATTCATTCTGTCAGTGCAGGGGGAAGCAATATACCGACAATGGCCCGGCATTCCTACTCGCAAGTCGCGCTTCCGATGTGTCCATCAATTTGTAGCGGGGCGCGACATGCCACAGCATGACCCATGCTTACGTTCTTGTACATGTGGTCTTCGTGTTGCTAGACGACGACACCGGCGACGACCATCACTGCCATTGCTACTACGTAGCAGTAGTAGTAGTAGGCACGCCCCCCCCCCCTACCAACTACACTTGCTCTCAACCATGTTAAGACAACATCCATTTTACTCGGTATTTGCGGCACTTTCGTCATGTGCGATCATCCTAAGAGGCCTAAAAATCGACTTGTCGAGTTTGCAAACTCGGGCTCTTGATTTTGGACTTGCTTCTGGGGGTGGGTGGCGGGGGATGATGACGACAGTGTTACGCGAACACACCCAGCAGTATCACCACAAGAGCCGTTTAACTCAGTATTTACGGTACTTTCGTGATGTCAGACTTTGTTACATATTCTGAGCCCCTACTTCTCGACTATGCGTATTAAACTTTGCTGTTTGGAACTGTTTGCAAAAAAACTCGAAGTTGGGTGGGGGAAAGCTTCTTCGGGGATGATCACGACACTGTTTTGCGGACACCCTGAACAATATTTCCACACTCAAGCGCGCACACACCACACACACACCAATTCAAAAACAGACCCTCCTACGCAGAGGTTGGGCGGTAGGGGTGTTGGCGAGCCCCTCCCACGTACAGCTGGCATCTTTGTTTTTGATGTTTAGAAGATGTTGCGCTTCAGGTTTTAGAAATGTTAAACCCTTCTTGGCAGCACCTGGGTTTTGCACGGTATTTACATCGTTTTCGTACTATCCGACCACCTGGGGTTTATCAGTTTCTTCCCCGTCGAGCTTGCAACTCCAGCTGCTGTCGCAGTTTTGGGGCCTGAGCCCCTGCAACTTCACCGGCTGTGACCGTTAAGGAAACTGAGCCTCTGCAACTTCTGCAGCTGTCACATATAAGGAGCCTGAGCCCGTGCATCTTCTGCAACTATCGCAGTTAAGGCGCCTAGCAGCTACCGCGGCCCAGCCCGGATGGAACAAGTGTAGTTGGGAGGGGGGGGTGGCTAGTAGTAGTAGTAGTAGTAGTAGTAGTAGTAGTAGTAGTAGTAGTACTACTACTACTACTGCTACTGCTACTGCTACTGCTACTACTGCCACTGCCACTGCCACTGCCACTGCCACTGCCACTGCCACTGCTCCTGCTCCTGCTCCTGCTCCTGCTCCTGCTCCTGCTGCTGCTGCTGCTGCTACTGCTGTTTCTACTGCTCTTGTACTACTACTTCTTCTGGTACCACTTCTTCTAGTGCTCCGACGAGAGCTACGGCTGCTACTGCTACTGCTACTGCTATTCCCCCTCCTGCTCCGACGGCTACTACCGCGAATGCTGCTGATACTGCTTCTCCTAATAGCAACAGCTTTATCCGTATGAACAGCAACACTTACGAAGGTTGCAAACAATGAGCGGATGGTAAAGCCAGCTAGTATGCCTTAACGAAGCCATGCCAGTATGCTATGTCATGCTTGCGGAAAAGTGCGGTGCTTGATATATCGTCAAGGTTTGTCCTGGTCGTGGTAGTTTTGATCCAGGGTTGTTTCGGGTATTGCTTTGTGTTTGTCGCCACATAAGATGTCTCCGTTGTAAAAGACTGCGCCTGACCACAGGTACGTACTATATATAGAGGCCTAAATAATTACCTACTATACTATTTGGAGGGTTCCTTGTTGTAAGTATAATAGTTATAATAGTACACTGGGCCCCAAAACCCTATTCTAATCATTAAGGCCCCTATACTACGCACTGGTAGAGCGAGGATTGAAACCCCTCGCTGTAAACATGTGGGGGGATGCGCATTCGGGATTTGCGGTCGAGAGTTCTCTGTTAATCTGTGCTTGAAAACTCTAGAAAACCCTAAACCCTAAACCCTAAACCCAAACCCTAAGCGTGGATAGGGATGTTTCTGTTCATCAGGGTGCCGTTTCACAAAACTCCTCGACCGTTTTACACATCCGTAAGTTGGACAGTTTCGATCCCCAGATCTTAGGGGTACTTGGAAATAGTTTTTATTAATTTGGCTATTATAATCGCTAAGAAACAGCTAAAATTGTGATTTTTGCCTAGGGTTCTAAGTTCAGTATAAGTATAGAGATATCCAGACCAAGGCTCCTTTCTTTGGCGTCGTTTTCGGCCCGGCGCAGCCCCTCAGTCTCAAGATTGCTTGGCGCCTTCGGGCTTTCAGCTTCCACTGCGGAAGTCGGAATATACATCTTATTCCTGCTTGGAGAGTCAGGGGACTTAGTAAGTAGTTATTTTAAGGACTTATAAGTCTCATAAACCCAATTAGGGCCCCTTTTAAGGTACTTAGAAGTCATTGTAAGTCTACTTAGTACCTACGTACTAATTCTCCCGACCCTCCAAGTGAGAGGTCCTTGCTATGGTTGTGGTAGAATACACCCCCAAAACCCTGTAGTCACACTGTAGTCTAACTCGTAGGGCCCCTGTATCCGTGGTTTTGCAATCATCCTACACTAGACTGTGCCCAAGAACTCCTAAACAGAAGCTATCGACATCCAGCATTCTTGCACAGGCTTTGCTCAGGCTCTTAGATGGTTTTCTAGATTTGTTTGATTCTGATAGTCTGTTTGTTAAAGCGCTTCCACTGTTCGGATTCTTCAAGGAGTCCAGGTGCGTAGCTTTGCTATACCACGGCTATCCAAGGATCCAAGGAGACGAAGCTACTATAGAGGGAGCCGAGTCTTCAGGCTTGTGAGGTTTGTCTTTAAGGTTTGGGATGTAGCTTCCTTTCCGACGCATGAGTGACATTGGACCCTGAAGCCCTGAACCCTAAAATCCACAAGTCCTATATACATCATAAACCCTGAAACCTTAAACTCCTTGTTACAACCAAAGCCTTAAGGGTCCATACTTATAGACTTGGGCCTTGAAGTATCCCTGTGTAGATGCTTTGGGCCCAAAAGTATATGCTATTTGGGTATTGGGACCCATAAGGGTAGCGGACCCCGAAAGCCTCGCCGGGTTTGCAATATCCGCATGTCTGACCGTGCACTGACCGCCGTATTTTAGCGTCCGGGACTGGCCTTGAATCGTGCAGAGCTGCAATTTTGGGTTTGGGTTTTTGGGTCGGTCCACAAGCAATGTCTCTCTCTAATTTCTGAGCCCTTAAAGACTCGCAGAACTGTATCCAAGACCGTACATCTTAGCTCTAAACCCTCAACACCAACCCTTAACACCCTAAAATCCCAAACCACCAACACCCCTACATAAACCTCGGAAACTGACAGCCCTCACATGTTGCTTCAAGCCCAGGAGACGTTTGCAGTGCTTGGCCTCACTCGAGCTTCGGAAGAATCATACCCATCACCATAAAATCGATCATCGCCATCAGCAGCAACCTAAACCCTGACTCCTAGCCCCTAAACCCTAAACCCTGAACCGTAAGCCCTAAACCCTAATGCCTACACCCAACGATGTTCGAGCTCTTTGCGTTGTTTCTTAACCGTCCGTGGGGACCGGCTTGGGGAGTCAAGGCAACGGAGCCTGAAACTC